CCTAGTAAGGAAAGTATTTATATACCTTCCCTCCTGATCCCTGGACTGAGATACTTAGTCCCGAGCTCATTATGACCTTAAATATGTTACCTATTACCTTTAATGGCATATTGCAGACTCCTGCACTCATATGCATTCTTATTAAATGCATTTAGCAACCTGGCAGTGAAAAAATAGAAGTGTCAGCTCCTTCAAATTAAAATAAAAAATCAATTATGCTCTAAGGGGCAGATGGAGATTAAGCTGAATGCAATGTACATTTACACTACTGTAGAAACCAAAGCCTTTATGTGCAATTAGTGGCATTTTATTCTTAATCTTTCTCCTTAATACAGAAGGGGCCATTAAAACAGTAAAAGCCATCCACGTGCCTGCTTCACAGTCAGCTTTGGAGAGGTACTTCCAAATGTATCATTTTCATCTTATCTTTGTAGGTCAAAAACATTACTTACATGCCCCTTTAATTCTTTGCCATTATTTTGGGGGTAGCAGTGAATGGGGGCTGGAAAGAGGGAGGAAAAGGCCAAGTATACAGTTGCAAGATGAGTTTTTTTGTTTGTTTGTTTTTGCTTTTTGTAACCTGAGAGTAATTTTTCCTGGTAATTTTTGCATATTGTATCCCTTCTAGGTTTTGCCCATCTCATTGGAAATTGCCAAAGGGAGATGTTCACAGGAGAAACTTCAGCACAAAGCATGTTGTGGACAGGCTTTTGAGCTTTTATGGGAATGTGCCAGGACATTTAAGGCTGCAGCTGACCCTCAGGAGTTGGACTTGATGATCCTTATAGTTCCCTTCCAACTTGGGATATTCTATGATTCTATGATCTCATAAATGTGATTCAGTACCAAAACTGTGGCAGTGCCTGTGCTGGTTTTTGAGTCCATTGTGCAAGAAGAGTGCACAGAGGGCTAGGACGACTCAGTATGTTGTGTATTGTGATAGAAAATGCTCTCAGCTTGCAGCAGAAGCTCTGCTTCTCTACTGGGACACATCAGTGATGATGAGAAATGCAGATGTGAGGCAGAATTCAGCTTTGTTTATACGACATGAGCTCCTGCTCCTGCTTGTCGGTCAGAGAATTTGGCCTCGGTTTCCCCAACCTCCCTTCCCAACCCCAGCTCCTAGAGGCTAAGCACACCAGGAGGTGTTTTCCTGCTGGGGAAAGGTGTGTAAATAATCAAAGTAAATAAGGAAGCTGTTAATAAATGCTACAAATGAGCAAGTCCTTGCCATGGGAGTGGATATCTTCTGTAGTGCAAGCGTGATCAATAAGACTCTCAGCTACGAGCCTCAGTATTGAACCTCAGCGCTGTGATTTATTGGATATAACACGTGCTTCCTTTTTATTTACTATTAAGGTGGAAGAGCTGCTGTTCAGCACACTTTCACAGTGTTCTTGAGCTGCAGACATGATGCACTGGCTCAGATTTTTGAGTTAGTTGCAGGAGAAAGGGTAGAGCTAGAGACTGGATTTTTACCTCTGCAACCACCATGCAGGGCTGGTGCTGTAAATAAAAAGGGTTCGAAGTGGGAGATGCTAACCAGGTTCCTTCCCTTTCCGAAGGGAACGTTTTACAAATACAAATCCCAAACCAGTAATCTCACTGCTGCTCGCAGAGCTTAACAAGCAGGACTTTTACTATGGAGCGTAGCGAGAGAGTTTAAATTTTGGATTAACTTCACTTATGCTAATCTCTCCTTTAGATCATGCCTTAAACACCTGCCTTCAAAGCACCCTACGCCCAACGGTAAATCGGGAGAAAAAAAAAGCGTCTGCAAAACGCTTTGTAAATTTGATGTTCTTCTCCAGAAGATGGCACTGTGAAACTAGGCTTAGAGCATCCCCGTGCCAGCTTCCAGGAGAGTTTTACCTTTTAACGTGGTATCAAGCTCCACTATTTGCACCACCTGCAGGACTGACGCCATTTATTTAGGTTTATGAGAAGTCCATATACTGTGTGCAAATAGAGAATCACAGAACGGTTGGGTTGGAAGGGACCCCTGAAGACCATCCAGTCCAACCCCCCTGATGAACAGGATCGCCTAGAGCACATTGCACAGGATCACCTCAGCCCTGTGTTAAGCTCCTGGGACATTCTGCGTCCTTGAGGCTCCTGGCTAAATTGGGGCCAGAAAAGGATGTCAAGATGCACACCCATCCATAAATCCTACCGAATGCTCTCCCCCAGAGCATTTATCTTCCCAAGCCTGGAAAAAAGAGAGAAGTTGGGAGTGTTAATGTCATATGGTTTGTATGCACATGTTATTGCATCTCTTTGTGTAGGGGGGGCTTTTTATATCCCCACATCTCCTCTATCCTGGAAGTCAGAAACCACCAGTACCTTATCTAAAGTAATTGGAGTTCAAATTTCACTGGGTTGGAAATGTTCCTCTTGTTCAGCTATGAAAACTATAGGGTGTGAACATCCTTTGGAGGTGAATATCACAGGCAAGGCAGATGGACAATCATCATAACTTGGGTATTTAGTACTCAGGTCAATTTATTCTTTTATCAGTGCTATTTGCATAAAAGTGTTTTTCTTAAAAACAACAACAACAACAACAAAAAAATAATCAGTTGGGAAATTTCTATTCCTTACTCCAAATACAAGTGTGAGTGTTAGGTGGCTGACAACAGATCTGACACTCAGCAACATAAATAGCAGCAAAATTAGTGTAATGTTGGAGACATATCCCTGGGAACACAGGGCCACTGAGACTAAAACCTGTGCTAATGTTGGTGTGGTTTTTCACTGATGGATTAAATCCATTTTATATCTTGGGATTCTCAGCTGGGACAATTCAGCATTTCTCAGAGTGTTTCCTTTTTCCCAAGGATACTCTGAAAGGTAGTACTAAAATGAAATTGCTCAGATATTGCTGCAATTTATGTCCACTAAACCAATTTGTATTCTCAGCTCTGAACAAGATCCAAAATCTTTGCTGCCAACAGGAGCTGATACAGTCATGTTCAGATCAGGCCTGCTATAAATCTGCACCTTTTCATTCATATCTGAAAGTCTTACGGTAGCGGTCATTTAGAAAAAAAAATCTGGAGGGATTTCCTTCCTCAGCCTCAATTTTTTTTTTTTTTTAATTGTTATTTTTTTTAATCCACCTTTTTGGACACCTTCCACAGAGCTAATTTAGATGATAAACTCTTTGGACAAGGATAATGCTTTCTTCTACATCTCTATGAACATGGCCAAACATGCTCTCAGCTCTTCAGAATTAGTCTGTAAATAGAAATAAGAGAGGGCCAAGAGAGAAGAGGTCCAGGTCAGTGGAACCAAAGCAAAGAGCCCTTAAGTGTGAATGGGAACAGAGGACAAAGGCAGCTGGTGGTAATAGAAAGGAGATGAAGAAACATCTGCAGTGATGTGAGAGCTGTTTCTGCTACCCTAGGTTGAATGGTGGTAGTGTCAGAGCCTGGCAGCAGCACCCACAGATGTGTTACAGTGAGGGGAACTTCTGTGTGACCTAATCTGGAGAAGGTGAAAAGGAGCAAGCACACAGATGTTGTGCTTGCAGATTTTTTTTTTTTCAAAAGTACATTGAAAATCTGAAATGTCTCCCTGCTAAAAATGTCAGCCACTTTCCTGGCATCTTTTAGATTTTGGGTGTTATTTTGAAGTTTGGACAGTGTTCCCTTGCTGTTCTGAAATCCCATCCAACCTGTAAGCCAGAAAAAAATATGAACTGCCTGATTTATGTGTTTTACAGCAACTCTACTGGAACCAGAGGGGCTGAATCCTTCTCCATGGCCTTTTGGAGATGGACCACGAATGACAAAGCCCTGTGGTGAGGAAGCCCCTTCCCTCTGCTTCCCTCTGGACCTGTTGAATATGCATGTGCTGCTCCAGCCCTAGTCCCGGAGGATGCTCCAAAGGTATCTGTCTGCATCCTCACACCTATCAGGGATACTGCAAGGAGGAGGGATATGAAAAAAAATCCCCAAATCGACAGCAAGGAGCTATGTGCAGCCTCTGGGCAGGGCTGCAAGGCAGGCAGAGGAATCTCTGCAAAATCCTCCACCGCCCCGCTGCTGAGCAAAGCCGGGTAGGGAAAGCCGTGGAGATGGCTGAGTCGGGGCATCCTCCCAAAAAATGGCTTCAAAGGGGGCTTTTATTGCCCTCATTGCCCTCGGGAATTCTTGCGCCCCTCCGGGGTGCTGGAGCAGTCAGGGCGGGGGGCATGGGGCGGTTTCCAGCCCTGCATCGGGGCCGATTTCAGGATCTTGAAAGAGAAATAAAAAATCAGAAAAATCCCGCAGTGTAGCTGAACGTGCAGACACCCCCGCACAAGCACACCCGCACGGCGACGTTCGGTGCGATTCTGCCGCGGATCCCCTGCAGCCACTACAAGGAAAAATAAAAGAAAGAAAAAACAAAAGGAAAAAAAAAATCCCAACGCGCAAACGACATCCAGAAAGTTGTGTATGTGCCTGCGCGCTGGGAGGGGAGTGCCCCGGCTGATTTTGCATCTTGCCTTGTGCCTCGCCTGCTCTTGTTTTTATTTTTTTATTTATTTTTTGCAACAGGGAAAGAATAGGTAATAGAGGATCAGGGGAAAGTCCGGGCAGTCGGAGCGGAGGGGACGCGGTTCATTTTTTTTCCTTTCCCTGCTTCCTCATCCTCCCTGGAAGTTTCTTTGCGACACAAAATCGGGCAAGAACCCGAGATAGAAGCTTGCGGGGAGCGGTGGGGAGGGAAAAATGGGAGGGAGACGTCCCACTCGGCTAGAAGCACTGCTGGCTTTGGGGCATTTTGTGTCACAAAAATTGCGCGCAAGGCGAGACCCCGCTGCGCGCTTCCCTGCGCCGCTCCCCGGTGATGCCGGCTGGTGCAAGGAGGGGGGGGAGAGATGCGGGGGATTTTCTTTTTTTTTTCTTTTTTTTTTTTTTTTTTTTTGAAACTGCTGAAAAAGGTCACTGAAGGAGTTGGCTGCTAAATAAAAAAAAAAAAAAAAAAAAAAAAAAAAGCCCTAAAAAGAGCGGCAGGCATGCGCACTGCGCGGATGCCATATTGGAATGAGGCTGCCGCGGGTGCGGGCGCAGGGACGGCTCCGCGCAGCGCCGCGCACCGCGGGCTCCCGCTGCTGAGGCGCGGAAGAAAAAATTAATAAAAAAAAAATTAACCCCCCAAACTTCCTCAGGTAAGGCACCGCATCCAGCAGCACCCCCCGGGACACTCCTTGCTGGCATTTCTCTTTATTATTTTTTTTTTTCGCAGCGCTTGGGTGGAGAGAGTCGGGTGGTTTTTTTTTTTCTTATTTTAAAGGAAGGAAAGCCGAGGGATGGAAGGTTGCTGTGGGTGTATTGTGCGAAGAGGTGGAGTTGTTGGGAAGTGTTTGCGGGAGGCTTGCGGGGCTGCTGGGGCACAGCCCCGGCTGGAGCCGGTACCTGCGCTCGGCTTTGCGGCTGCCGCTCCCCGCGCACCCTCCCCGGGCACTGCGGCCGCAATTCCCCGCCGGCTGTCAGCGGGTTCTTTTCCTGGCATACTCTGCATGCCCTCATTTCTCCCTCTCTTCTTCTTCCTTTCTTTCTTTTTTTTTTCCTCTTTAAAGTAATCTATCTTTTTGGGGTCTTCCCTGGCATCCTTCGGGGGCATCCTTCGCATGCAACCCCCCTTTCAAATTGCTGCGTGCCTCGGAAAGAGTTATTTTGGGTGTGTTTTTTTTTTTTTTTTTTTCTTTCTTCCGAATCTGCAAGGGTGAAAAAAAAGCCGCCGCAAATAGCGGGGAAGAAAAAGAAAAGAAAAGAAAGCAATCAGCTGTGCCAAAACGTGCAGCCCTGATCTCTCTACATATTTTCCCCCGTAGCGCTCCCGAACTGCGGTAAATGAATATTTATAAAGCTTGTCAGTTCAACATGGCGGGTTAAGGTGTCTTTAAAACTGAAAATAAACATTTTGAGGGGAAAAAAAGAGAGAAGCCAAGGTGTCACACGTTGGCTCAACTCTCTTTTGTTGCTCGGGAGAGGTGCGCCGGTGAATTAAACGCAGAGAGGTGGGGATGGGATCGGTCCTCCGGGTCCCCCCCTGCAGGACTCACTGGTGGGAAAAGTACAAGGGATTTGTGTGTGCTGGGAAGGAACCACGAGAAGGGGCACGCAGACTTCGGAGCCCGGCCGATTTGCCTTTGAATGCCAAAATCGCAGGCGTGCCACGAGAGAGAGCTAAAAAAAAAATGCCGAGAGACGCGGCGATGATTTATTTTGCATTAAGAGTAGACATGTCGTGGGATGAGATGTCCTGTTGGAGCTGTCAAGCCTTCCCCGCTCGGCGCAGTCAACCGGGGATGTGCTTTTTATTTTTTTCCCCCCCCCTCTGTTGTTTAACAAAAATGCTCAGAAATTGCCGTGCACGGAAATCGGGGCTGCCAAACAAGTGGCTTTACCAGTGCGTGCCGCAACGAGCATCTCTTGCGCGGAGGGACCCTAAAAAGCCCACGACGGCGGAGGCGACTCGCAGCTTTTGCAGAGCAAGCAAATGAGAGTTTGCGAGGAGTTTGCCGGGAGTTGTTTGTGCTCTCCCCGGCTGCCGTTTGCAAATGCATTTTTCGGGGGAGTGGAGGAGCGAGGCTGGCGCTGAGGCAGGAGAAACTTCCTTGTTCCAGTGCCGGGAGCGCTCTGGTGCTGCTGCCCCGGGGATCGTTTCGCCGTGGTGGCAGGGTGTTAACTTGGGAACATCCGCATTTTGCAGCCCTGGGAGGCGATGGGAAGCTCTAGCATCGCGGGGATAGAGGAGCCGGGGAGGATGCTTGGGGGAACATTTCCTTGAGCCTCTTGGAGATGCTCTCCAGAAACCCACCATGCTTTTATTTAGCAGGAGGGGTTGGAGATGCAGTTCGCCCATCGCAGCATGGTTTTGCCTTCCAACGGGGCTCTTTTCCATCCTCCCACTCCATTTTTGCCCTCTGTTCAGCCTCCATTCCCACTCAGGACCAAGTTTTGCCACTCAGGGAGCCAGCAAACCGATGTCGCAGGGGTGGGGACCGGGGGAACGAGGGAGGGGGAAGGATTCTGACCTGTTATTAGAAAATAGCATTAATTATAAGCAGAGCATTAATTATAAGCTGCTTGGGGGGCAGCTGTCAAACAGCAGCAGGACTGAGCTTGCAAAATCCAAGTGGAGTGGAGTCAGCCTGTGGGATCTTCTGTGGGCTGGGAAGGGATGGAGCCGTTGCAAAATGGGGAAAAAACTCCCCCATCCCTGCCCTGCATCTGCCCCTCTCCACGTGTGCTGCCCCTTGGCAGAGGGACTTTTGAAGGCACTTTGTGCCCCTGGGCACTTGGGCAGGAGGTGTTGTAGCAGAAGGAGCTGGAGGCTGAGCACAAAAGCAACTTGGTGGGGGTCCTGGTGGAGGCACGGAGGGGATGCAGAGGTCTCTGTAGATCCCTTTTCCTTGGGGTATTGCCCCTCTTTTTTTTTTTTTTCTTTCTTTCTTCTTCTTCTTCTTTTCTTTGCGTTAAATGAATTTGCTCTAATATAGAAAAACCAGCCTAAAATGGTACTTGCAAACTGCACTTTCTGATGGGAACACCTCACTTTGCACTAGTGTTGCCCATTTCAGGCTCTGCATCCAGACCCCCACCCAAGATGGGGTGCAACCCCCACACCCTGCCAGGGAAGGGGACACCCCATCACCCTGAGGGGCTGTGTTTATAGGACGGTTTTGCAACCCCCAAATCTTTGCTCCTGTTTCCCCCAAAGGAAGGGGATTCTGCACAGGCACTTTTGATTTCCTTTGCTGGGGGGCAAGGGGATTATTTGCTGGTGGACTCTGCAGGAGTTGGGGGGCGTGGGCGAGACAGGTTTGCTCTCAGAGTTTGGGATTGTAGCCCAGGGGAGCAAGGACACAAGTGGTTTGTTTTTTTCTTTTTTCCTTTTTTTTTTCCCATTTTTTTCCAGCGGATTATTTATGGAAAGGAAGAAAATAGTCTCACAAGTCTAATAACTTCAGTGTTTATAAAGGATTAGATCCTAATAACTCCTCTGATAAGATGGAGGCTCGGTGTAATCTGTTACTAAGTGAAAATATAAAAGCCATTTAAATAGATACAGCAAAGAGATGCTGGGCGACTAGCACACTGCAAACAAAAAAGAAATAATATCTTTTTACTGAATTTTGGGGAATGGACAGCATAACAGGATAGTAGGCAGCCAGTATCATTTCATTTATATATTGAGAAAACATTTACAGATATTCAACAGATGTTTCCAGGGTGCTGCAGTGGTGGAGAGTGTGTGGCGCAGCTGTAAGAACATCTGTAGAAGGCAGTATGTAGTTGTGTGGCTGTGATTATGAGTGATAATTGACTGGCTGGACAGACAGCTGATGTTTTAATGAAACATTTATTAAAACTTTATGGCGGTGTTGCCAGAAATAGAATCAATACTGCAACTGTCAGCTCTTTAGGGATGCTTTTTTTTTTTCCCCCCATGGCTTGTGCTGTGCAGGGTGGGCTGCTGACCCTTTAAATAAATAAAATAAATACTTGTATGTATTTCAAGTTGCTTTTTCAGGCTTTTTTGCAGGGATGTGGCCACAATATGGGAACATCAGCAAAGGGATGTGAAAAATATCTTGTTGTGGGACAGGCCATGGGAGAGAAGGTGCTGTGTTGTTTCTTTGTGGGATTTTTGCTGGCTAAATTCACATTGGTATAGGATGGGGGAGTTTGGGGGCGTCCCAGGGGTGGTGGTTGAGGAAGGTGGCTACTCCCTGCTCGTGTCCAAGTGACAAAATCAAGGAGTTGTGGAAGCTCCAAGAATCAGGCCGTGGAGACGAAGCATAGAGAAGGAGGATCCAGAAGGCACGTTTCTGAAGGTGCCCAGGGAAAATTGATGGGGTGGCAACTTTTCAGATGACCTGAAGGTTATAGAAGCGTCCCAAGTCCTTTATTACTGTGTATTGATGTGTGCCATGGATCGACTGGTGCAGCTGGGCCCTCAGTGCAGAAAATGAGATGCTCTTGGTAATAGTGATGCTCCTTGCAAATGCTGAATTTGTTCTATCCCTGCAATGTCATCCTCAGGAGCAGTTATTTTAGAGTGGCTGGTGGTACCTTGCCAACGTTTAAGACTCATCGTTTCAAACTATCTGTTGATCTTTTTACAGTAGTCATCTTTGATGAAGCCAGTCAAATCCACCCTTTGGGTTTTCAGCCAGAAGATTTATATTAGCTTTGTTTTCTGTGTCTTAGGTGGCACTCCTATGGTGAGTCGAAGTGTTTGGGTTGCAGAGCAGAGGGAACGCAGGAGTATGAGCAAAAGGCTTTGTCACTGACATTTAACAGCTCCTGAAAAAGTTTATTTTGAGATCGGCCTTTTTGCAAGGCCTAAACAAAGCGGTTTTGAGAGGGCTGGTTTAGAAAGTGTGATCACAGTTACTCCACTTTCATGAATCAGAAACGTTTGTTCTAAAATTAAATAGTAATAAAAAGCCATAAAATCCCCCAAACCAGGCAAATCTTGACAGCTGACCGAAAGATCATTTCTGAGTAGGTGTGAAGCTTAAAAAAAGGTATGTGCGGAATCTAGGCTATTTTTTTCTCGTGCTCGTGATTCTTGCTTTCGTGATTAATGCTCCAAACGTCACCAGGTGGCTTGTGCAAGGGAGCCCTAATTGCTTGGACAAAGTCCTGAGCTCCAGTTTGAATATAAGTTATTGGGAAGGTGCAAGGCCAGACGTTGGGATCCTCCGCTGTGTGGGGAATTCATTCTGGATGACCTGGGGCAGCTCATGTGTTCGCCATGGCATCTCTCAGAGGCCACTTGTGGGATGAAAGGGAATCCAATCAGTCTTGTCTTGGAGAAAAGGGGTGGAATTAGCCCTCTAAATGTGACTTGCAGATCTCTGAATTAAAATGTTTTGTGGAATTTGGTCCTGGTCAGACCTTGGCAGAGGCTGCTGGCTGCTCTCTGCTTGTCCCAGGGGAAGGGAAGGGATGGCAGGAGATGTCCATGAGGGCTGCAATTTGGTTTTGCAGATTCCTCCCACCTCATGGAGCTTATCTGGATGTAAAGCACTGGGAGGGGTGTGAACACACACAGGACTAAGCCCAAGTGCTAATCAGCTGTGCTGTGTAAATGAACCAAACGTCGCGCCAAGCTCCTAAAATGTCATTTTTCCTAAAAAGCGTTGGAATCAGA